GATAGAAAGAAAGGCAGGAATGCAATCAGAATGCCTTGGGAGATTGACTGATCATGTTAAAAGTGCTGTTACTAGGCTCGCTCGAACCGTGTCCTATCATACATTAATCGAGCCAACCCCAACACTTGGCAAATCCCAGGAAAAAGAAAAAAAAGAGGGTTAATCCAAGAATAAGATAGGCATAATACAAAGTATAAAGTGTTTATTCGTAACAAAATCTCCACATCCTCCGGGGGGGTTCATATCATTGACAAATCTACAGCTTAGCACCGACAAGCTTGGCGTAGGCCTCGGTGCTGAAACTCTTGGGGCGCTCGATGGGGGCACCAAGAGCACGGTCAATGATCAGCTGGGGCAAGACACCCAGAGCACGGGAGACACCGAAGAGAACGGTGTAGTAGTTGGCCTCAGTCAGGCCGTAGTACTGGAGGAGGACACCCGAGTGCTAGAGACGAGTTAGTATATTGATTCCGCGAAATAGATCCCAGGAGTCGCCGCAACGGTGAACTTACAGCATCGACGTTGGGGTAAGGGTTCTTGGTCTTGCCGTGTTCAGTCAGAACACCAGGAGCGATCTTATAGACCTGGCTGACCAGCTTGAACATAGGGTCATCGGGGAGCTTGCGGAGGGCAAACTCGCGCTGAGACACGTAGCGAGGATCGGTCTTACGGAGAACAGCGTGACCGTAGCCAGGAACAACCTGACCGGCGTTCAGGGTAGACCAGAGGTAATCCTTGATAGCCTGGTCGCTAAGGTCGTTGCCAATGGCAGCCTTCATCTTGGTGAGCCAGTTGAGCACTTCCTGGTTAGCCCTGTGTACAGTATCACCATGTTAGTGAGGCATTCGAGGACTGGGAGTTGAAAGGGAAGGGTGGGAGCGAGATCTTACAATCCGTGCAGGGGACCAGCCAGACCGTTCAGACCGGCAGCCAAGGAAAGCATGGGAGAGCTGAGAGCACTGCCAACAAGGTGGGTGGTGTGGGCGCTAACGTTACCACCCTCGTGGTCGGAGTGGATGGTCAGGTAGAGGCGCATCAACTCAACAAAGTCCTTGTTGTCGCCGTAACCGAGCTGGTTGGCCAAGTTGAAGGAGTAATCCTTGTCCTTCTGGATAGCAGCAACCTTGCCATCCTTGAAGACATTACGGTAGATCTTGGCAGCAATGGTGGGAAGCTTAGCAATGAGGTCCATGGAGTCCTCGAAAGTGTAGTTCCAGTAGTCCTTCTTGTTGAGACCCTTGGCATAGGCCTTGGCGAAAGCAGACTCGTGCTCAAGAGCGGTGACGGCCAGGGAGAACTGAGCCATGGGGTGCAGAGTGCTGGGGCAGCGGTCGATCAACTCCTCGATGAACTTAGGGAGGTCGGAACGAGCAGCCCACTCAGCAGACAGGTCGCGGACCTGCTGCTCAGTGGGGATCTCGCCGGTGAGGAGGAGCCAGAAAAGACCTTGATAAACCGTTAGGGCAAATGACCATGGTCAGTTTTGCCAAAAGAACACTTACCTTCAGGGAGAGGCTCCTGACCGCCGGGGGCCTTGGGAAGAAGTTCCTGGCACTCGGGAATCTAGCAGATTGTAAGCATTTGCCCGAGGCCGCAATGACAGCCATGTTGTACTCACGGTGCGACCACGGAAACGGATACCCTCCTCGGAGTCGAGAACAGATCCCTGAACGAGTGTATTAGCCAGGTCCTACCAGGAGGGTGTCGTTTACGTGTAGACTACTGACCTCCCAAACAAGGGACTTGACACCACGAGCGCCACCGTAGACCTGGTCAAGGGTGACCTCGCCGATGACCTTGTTGCCGTGCTCCCTGTAGCAATAGACCAAAGGTGATTAGCAATCCGACAGAGCCAAGAGTAATCGAGTTAGTCGTACTTGCGAAGCTTCTTGACTTTCTCGATCTCAGCGGGGAGCTTCTCGGCGAAGGTCTCCTTAAGGGACTGGAAGGCGTATTTGAATCAGTACAGCTGAGCATGGCAGCAACGGATGTCAGAAGCGCGACGGACCTTGGCCTTGCCGGTAGAGTAGCAGCGCAAGCCGTTGAAGGCAGCGGACTGGACAACGGGCTTAGCAGCCATGCCGCTGGAGCGAAGAGCAGAGGTTCCAAGTCTCAAGGTGGAAGCCATTGTGAGAAGGACAACTTGATCACGAGTCGGAGGGTAATAATGTAGGAAAGGAGAGGGAAAGGGATGGGGTATAATTCACACAGCGGTAGAAAAAAGAAAAGAAGGAAGAGAAGGAGATAGAGAGACAGAGTCGGGAGAAGAAGCTCTTTTGCGGGCCTTTTTTTCCATCTGGCCGTAACACTCCTACAGCCGGTACGCGGATTGTACGGTAACACCCGGCAACAGAGCAAGGCAGAGGGAGAAGTGGACCGTACCATACGGTCACGCTAGTTTCGAGGCGGCCGGTGTCCCGAGTTTGGGGCTTGAGGGGATGGGCGCGGTTGACTGCGGCAAGCTTACCAGAATGGATGTTATGCTCATACTCCGTTGTCCGGGACGGACAAAGGACGGAGGATACTAACTGATAGGTAAGGTAGGTTGAATTCTTACCCAGTCTGTTTTGTTCATACATCATGGCTGCAGGCCAACATTGTAAGTAACTACGTACAGTATCTACTTAAAACTTAGCCCTGAGGTAACTCACGGCAAGCTGTTAGCGAAGGCTTCCGTCAGATAGTGAAGTTAGTTAAACAATTTTCAGACAAAATTCAATACATTCAACTCATCTTTTGTTCATGAAGTCGCTTGGACTAAAGTCCTGTGGGATTCGGAGTGTATTCAATCTTTTTTTTCTTTTCCGACGATCTTCGGCACCCGGTCCATCCGTAAACGGAGTGCCTACAAATGGAGCTGGTGTGGCACATTGCACCCCCTCGCTGTGACGTCGGCAGTCGCCATCCTCCTCCTATAGCACAGACTAATAGACTAATAGGCCGCCCAAGCTTCACAGTAAACGGGGTTTCCCCATTCTTTTCTCTCACCCTTAAGTACGGAGTACTGTACTGTACTATCAATAATGTGGAAGAGATACTACCTAATGCACGCGCCCCCCTCGCCCCATGCATTCATGATGGCATTTAGACGTAAGACCGAGGCATGGGATAGACGCACACAATACCAATGGATCTTATGCATATACTAACTACTGCAGAGCACTGTAAGTTACAATTCTCACCTCCAAGGCTTACCACCAAAATAGATACTTGTACTCTGTAGCTTTCAATAATCATCAACAAGAATACAAAGATTATTGATAGTTGCTATATAGGCGCGGCATGGAGAAGTCCTATCAAAAATTTGATTTTACCTTAACTTTACTGCTACATTGTTCTTCCCATGATCACCTAGAAGGTCAATTCAGTCTCAACCTAAACTCATTCGGAGCTGGCAGCAACCTGCCTCAAGGCATGTTACCAGATTCGACTCACCGAGGCTCCAAGCAGTATTGAGACGCAGTTTCAGCTGCTATGCCAAGCCATGAAAGGGGGCAATACACGTGACTATGTATCGCTTCAATAAAGCCTGGAGAATAAGGCATTATATCTATGCACAGCCATTCACGGTTATCTCATCCCGCTGCCAGGTGTGAATTGAACTGAAAGAGAGAGGTGCTCCATATGTGTTACCCAATAGAGACTAGCCTAAGCGGTCTGATTTTTCTCCTCACCTGACTGACCACTGCAAATTGAATCTCCTTCCGTCCCTATTCTTATTCCAAGTTTTGGAACAACCATTTCCTTCACATCCAACCCTTCTCCCTCTTTCTTTCATCATTATATCCATCATTCATCGCAGTATTCAGACACTGTAATCTTCGTCACAGTCTCAACAACGGTTTCCAGTTGACCTAGAACTCTAGGGTATACTGTACACACTCGTTCGCGAGTCGCCAGGCCCTGGACAGCATCGCTTGGCCGTGTTCCAGCTGTAGGCGGAAGGCCTCCCTTGGTCGCCAGAGTACGCTTTTGAAGTCTGTAGTGACACGACCTGAAGCCCGCTTAGGAAACCACTTATTGCTCTACCAGGAGCCCACCATTCTACCAGGTCACTGGTATTCCCCATTAAAACATCACAAGATTTTTAACTGCAGCTGGATATCCCAGTAGACCGATTGGCTGGAAGCACAGTGCGATTATCGCCTCTCTGTACGAAGTCCACCGCTGCATTTTGAAGAAAGCGATAGTTTTTCCAAAAAGAAATCCTTTGGCTGTATCCTGTTCTCTGCGTACTCGGCTCAGCATTTCAGCACTCCATACCCACCAGCCATGTCGTCTGCTGTAGCAGAACTGGATAACTATCTCCAGTCGATGCTGGCACTCAAGCCACCGGGCGTTTCAGGATCCAAAATCAACAGTATCACATCGCTCTGCACAGCCAACGTTCAGGTATTTCACCCTCCATACGTTGTATACTACTCGGATCGGAGGCTAACATCTCTCATTTTGACTCTCCCACAGAACGAATCCGTCCTCATCCAAAAGATCTACACTCATTTCAAGAAAGCACCAGGAACACACAAGTTGGGCGTACTCTATGTCGTAGACTCTGTAACTCGACAGTGGGTAGAACAAGCGCGCAAGGCAGGGCAACCATCTGGTAGTGCTGCCCCTGATGGGACCTTCGCCGCTGGTGTTAACAGAGTGACCGAGCTGCTTCCTATCCTGATGACTGATATCATAAGCAATGCTCCCGACGATCAAAAGGTACGCTCTAGATGCTATATGCAAACCATAATCGGAATCATCACAGGGCCGCAGGCAAGCATAGAGCCGATAGGATGCTGTCTTCTGCTTAGGAGACCGCATGCAGATCTGCTTGAGAATCGGTCAACGTATCTCCTGTATATTCCTCGACTATCATGGCATAAAGTCCTAGGCCACTATGCTTGCCCGGTCTCGTTGGCTCAGCCTTTCTTTCCTCTTTGCATCGTTTCCCAGTGACGAACAATTAACTCACGTATCTTCTCCGTTCAATATAGGAAAAAATAAAGAAGCTGGTCGACATCTGGGAACGCGGATATACCTTTCCTGCCCCTATGCTTGCTTCATTCAAGGACAAGCTCAACGCTCCTCCATCGCAAAGTAAGACTACCCAAAGCCTTTCTATTTCTTGAGCCCAGGCCACTCTGCCTCGGGAGTGCCATGTCCTCTTGGCCAAGGTTCCTGATGAGACTCATCGGCTAACTTCCGCTCAATTTTGTGTCACTCTTTAGATGTCGAATCTACTACTCCCGAAGGCTCCCCAGCACCCAACTACCTCTCTTTGGGAGGTGCTCATCAGCCTACCAATGGCACGGTTTCATCCACTCCTGCTCAGCAGACGCCCGACACTTCCAGTATCCTGAAGGCTCTGGCGGATATGGCTAAACAGAACACTGCTGCACCTGCTGCACCTGCAGTCGCGGCGCCCGCCAACCCTCTCAACGCCTTAAGCCAGCCAGGTACGGTTTTGCAGACCATGCCGTCCTCTGTAGACCAGGCATCACAACCCTCAAACGGGCAGGCTGGTGTAAACCCTTACGCTTCTGGTACCATGGTCACCCCCTTCACGGCTCTGGGCAATATTGCCCAGAACCCAGCCCTAGGGGCCCCTCAGAACCCAAGTCAGAGCCACACTCCCAATCCCTTGGCGGCGGCGCAAAACCCGCTAGCAGCGCTATTGCCGCAGTCGACTGCAGCGCCAACTCAACCGAGTTCGGTAGGACCAGATGCACTGCAGCAGCAGCTCCAGCTCTTGCAGCTCCTGTACGCTCAGGGTATCCCGCAGGAACAGTGGGGCACCGCGCTGCAGATTCTTAGCCTTTCGAATGCCACCAATATGGGCACGATGAACCCGGGCCAGGCTCCTTCGTCGTTTAATCTTGCAGCAGGCCAAAACATCGGCGCTTGGGGCGCCCGCCCGGACTCACAACCACGTGACTATGATCGGGATCGGGACCGCGAATACATGCGGTCGCCGCCAAGCCAGTATGGTCGTCGTCGGTCGCACTCTCCAGGCTATGACCGTCGCCGGGAGGCATCTCCTCCTCGTCGTCGTGACAGCCCTGTTTACGGGGAATATCACGGAGATTCTCCTGGCCGTCGGGGCGGTGATCCTCGTGGTCGACGCAGCAATGAATATCGTCAGCGCAGTCCTCCCGGCCGCAGACGCCGTTCTCCCTCCCCTTCTCGCAAGGATCCTGCTCTGCCCCCTCCTGGGCCCAAGTTTATGGAGTGGGATTACTCCATTGGTCAAGGCAACATCAAAGGTCTGTTTCCACCATGCTCCCTCTTACGCTCAACTGGGTGATTCTAATCTTCGCCTGTGTAGTCTTGAGTCGAACCCTCTTCGTAGGCGGTGTCACGTAAGTCCTTGTCAATATTTATTTGCAGATTCTTGGCATCGGGAACTCACCAGTCAATAGCTCATCCGAAGCTCACCTTCGTTCTTTGTTCAGCAAGTTTGGTGTGGTTCAGACTTGCATTGTCAACATTGATAAGCGCCATGCTTTCATAAAAATGATCAGTCGCCAAGATGCTGTGAATGCCCGGGATGGAATGGAATCATATAAGTCTGGTGACATGCAGCTCAGAGTAAGTGTCCTCATTGTTATACAAGTGACCTGGCGTTCCCTGGCATGTCCACTAATCATCATCTCTCAGACTCGCTGGGGCGTCGGATTCGGACCCCGAGACTGCAGCGACTATCAAACCGGCATTAGTGTGATTCCCGTCGATCGACTAACCGAGGCGGATCGCAAATGGATGCTCACCGCAGAATATGGTGGCACGGGCGGGAGGCCAATTGAGTCTGGCATGGTCGTAGAGGAGCCGGACATTGAGATCGGTGCTGGTGTTTCCTCCAAAGGTATGTCCCTACTCACTTCCAGATTACTCCCCGTCCTAATCTTGACTAACCTCCCCCGATAGCGATCAGCAGAAGAATTGCCACCGATACTGGCGGCAAACGTGGCCCAGTCTCCTCCCGCGGGCAGCAGGATCGATTCCGGCGTCCAGACCGAGAAGGAGCTCCGGCTGGAATGGGTGCGGGCCTTGTTCCAGACCGAGATGTCAACAATGCTAACAATGTCGGCGTTCCCCCTGCGGTGCCTGGCTTCGGTTTCTCTTTCCCCACGATGGGCATGTTCCCCCCTGGTTTCATGATGGGAGGACCACAAGCTGGACCGTCCGGTGGTGGTTCAGCACAACCTCCCCCTCCAGGTCAATGAGCCAACAAATTCTCTTGCGCAATGTCGAGAAGAATGGCAGTGAATGCAGTGACGTTGATCTATCTCCTGCTAGCCGTTTTATTCCACTCTTGTTTTGATACCAGTGCTTTTCACCTGTTTCCCATATTCCATTTTCACTTGGCTTTGTCTTGTACAATCAAAATTCGGCGTAGGAGCTTTTTCCATTCCCTTCATCAAAATCGGGGGGTTGAAACCACTTTCACTTGTCTCTGGGACCAGCCATTCACAATCTGAGATATTCCTGTATTTCAATGCAGAGCTTCGCCAATCCACAGAGCTTCTGATGGGAATTAAACCCTCGTAATTACTATAGCATTCCGGGCTTTACCATCAGCTTTTGTCATGGTGATTCTAGGTTACAGGCCGTTTCTCGCATTCCCATGTTTTTGTTGTCACAATCATCTGGATCAGACGGTTGGGTTTAGTGGTTATTATGTGCCTCGCATTATCCTGTTGTGTCCTTGACTTACTTTTTCCTCCATTATCGTCATCTTCTTCTTTTCTCTTCGTCCTGCGAATGCTTATTCTTCTGGACTAGGCCTGTTCATATCGGGTCAATGAATTATTCATAAGGGATCGTGCAAAAGTAAGCTCATAGGTACATTCTCTCATCATGTAGTAAATAACAATAGCTGGAATACAAGATTTTACTTTTGGTAGCTTACTACCTCTCCATACACGGAAATGTTTAATTAGGTAACTAAGTTGGTTTCTTATATCAGTCACATGTCGCGCTTGGGGCTTTGAGCCGCGAAGACATCAGTGCCCTGCCATTTAAGCTGACCCAGATACAGTATCCTTCCGATAAATAGTCTTCTCCCCTTGGTAGTTCATCGAATTCACGTCGAGCAAGATGTCCTCGCTCACAGCACATTCGCGGCCTTGAAAGATTGCTCAAAATCCGCGATGATGTCGTCAATGTGCTCCGTACCAACAGAAATTCGGATGGCGTCTTCTGTGACCCCAGAGTCAATCCGCTCCTGCTCAGTAAGCTGTTCATGAGTTGTCGACCAAGGATGAATAGCGAGGGTCTTTGAGTCCCCAACACTATCAATAGTTGATTAGCCTAGGCTCTCTTTACTGGCTCAAGGACACGAGGGACTTACTTTGCAAGGTTAGATATCATTCTGAAGCCGTCGACCACCTGAATACCAGCCGCAGCACCCCCCTTCACACCGAATGAAAGCACACCGCCAAATCCTCGGGGTAGGTAACGCTTAGCAGTCTCATGGCTAGGGTGGTCTTCGAGACCTGGATAAGAGACCCAGCTTACTTTTTCGTTCTTTTTGAGCCATTTAGCCAGAGTTATGGCATTGGTTGCATGCCTTTCGCTACGCAAGCTGAGGGTTTCAATCCCAAGGAGAAGCTGCTGCGCAGCGAAAGGATTCAGGGCTGGGCCAAGATCACGGAGGATCTCCACCCGCACACGAATGGCAAAAGCAACATTGCCAAAAGTCTCCCAAAACTTCAGGCCATGGTAGCCTTCGGAAGGCTCCACGAACTGAGGGAATCGCGCTGCATGCTTGCCCCAATCGAACTTACCACTGTCAACAACAACACCTGCAATAGTAGTTCCGTGGCCACCAATCCACTTAGTAGCACTGTGTACAACAATATCTGCGCCGTGCTCAATAGGACGACAGTAATAACCGCCGGCCCCGAAAGTGTTGTCGACCTACATCTTCTCTGTTATCATAGTTAATTCGATATCTTGGCTTGAGATGACACTTACCACCAGCGGAACGCCCTTGTCATGGGCTACCTTCGCAATAGCTTCGAAGTCTGGTACATTGTAGCGTGGATTGCCGATAGTCTCAACATAGACAGCCTTGGTCCGATCGTCGATGGCTGCAGCAATTGCCGCTGGGGTGTCCCCATGAATGAATTTGGTATGGATGCCTAGGCGTGGAAAGAGGACTTTGAACTGATTGTACGTGCCACCATACAAATTGCTGGTTGCTACAATGTTATCACCTGCATAGGCAAGGGCTGCAATTGTCATGAATTGTGCTGCCTGACCAGATGCGGCTGCCACGGCTGCAACGCCCCCTTCAAGAGCTGCAATTCGCTTCTCGAAGACGTCAACCGTGGGCTGAGAAGGGCGGCGGCGTAACCATCAGTAACTCCTCGTCCGTTTCCAACGGCGTAGGGGGAGATCGACTACTTACGTTCATTATCCTGCTATAGATGTTGCCGAACTCCTTGAGACCAAATAGCCGAGCTCCATGAGCAGAATCATTGAACGAATATGACTATCGATGCTCTGTCAGGACTGAAATGAACGAGCAATGTTGCGCAGGCATTAAGCAGCTCGACTCACCGTAGTCGCGTAAATGGGCACCGCACGAGCGTTGGTGGTAGGGTCTGGCTCTTGACTAGCACATACACCATCAGTCTCCTTTCAAGCCCAATAGCTTGTTGGTCTAGGGTAGAGGTAGAGTTCATATGGTACCCTGCATGGAGCTGGAGAGTCTCGAAGTGCGGCCGCTTGGACTCTGACATGGTGACCAGGATATGATCTATTGTGCAATTCCGAAAGCTTTTGAGGGAAAAGGCAGTGTAGCCAACCTTTCGAGGATGGGGGGCAAGCAAACAGCAATAGAGAACGTCCTCGTTGGTAAGATAATTATCATTAGACTAGATTCAACATTACCGATCGCCCTAATGATATAGTTGATTGACAATAGCGATGGCGTGATCGGAATGGAGTACAGCAAGGCGGGGAGGGCGAGATCGATCTATGTACTGGGTACTCCGTACAAAGAACGAACAAAACCCCCTCTCGCATTGACAAAAAAGTCTGCGTACCTTAAAGAAGGCATAAGCTTGAAACCTTCTTGAAGGATGGATAATGTGCGGAGAATAGTCATTTTTTCAAGACTTCGAGATGGATCAATGTTGGTGATGCATACTGTACAGCAGGCATGGGGAATAGCTGATGTATGTACCATATATTGAAATTGACCTTTACTTGGATCAGATCCCAACATTTAGGTTTATTTAAGTATGAATAACAGGAAGGGAGTGAGTAAACCTGGGGTGTAATGGTGTATTGGTGTAATGGTGTACAAGTACTGTGCTGTGCTGAGTTTGTGCAGAATGGAAATTAGATATGCTATAGTTACTATGTACAGTTAGTTTACTCTTTCTCGGAATATCAATACATCAAACAGCTACTTGTAGCTTAAATGACTTTAGGCAACCACATGCTATGGCGGCTGTTGTGAGGCTTGGACAGTCAACTGGTGTGGTCATGTGCCCGGCAGATGTAGAAGGAAATGAGGTCATTGTCTGTTCAATCATGGATGGATGGATTAATTCTTGGCCCGCCTCCCTGTTCATTGCCGTCATCGAAAACCACAGCCACCAATCCTTAGGCTCCGGTCTTTCTTTTTCTTGCTCATTTTCACTTCTCTTTTCATTTCCAATTTCATCCTTTTCCCCTTTATTTAGCATATTTCTTACTAGTCAGTGTCGATTGATCCCAAACGATAATGACGATGATGATGTCGATGCGGTAAGGAGATCCGCTACTTACAATTCCCACCAATCCCTATGAAAAATAAGAAAAGTTAAAATAAGAAGAAACACGTTGGACTGCATGCTCCAGGGCTGTCGGGTGTATACAGGTAGAAAGGTAGCCATGAAAGGATCGAGTGAATCACAGCACCAACACCCAACCCCAGTGCTTCTTGGCGGACCTGGCCGGTGATTTGCCCTGTCAATTATATTTAGTTGTCAAGCCACTTGTGCAACCGCACTGATTTGAAACCACTATATCTGCATATAAATACACCTCTCTTCGTCTGCTACTTTTCTTGTCCCTCAACATGACTGCATCCGAGGCCTATCTGTCTCCATTAGTACTTGCTATCCTAGACCAGTGGCTATAATTCACAAGAGCACACGGTATATCTTCGGCAGACGCTGGCCCTAGACAACTTCACCCACCGAGCAACTTGACAGATAAACCATCCAACATCGACCATGGCGACAAATTTTCCTTGGGTTCTTCCTGTTCGAGTCGCTCAAGTCATTTTTGCTATCATAGTTCTTGGGTTAACAGCATACTGTTGGTTCACCTCTACCTGACAGCATTCGATCGTCTCTGACGGGTTAACAGACATCAGTTGGTATAGCTACAGTGACACTGTGAATTTCATGCTTTTCAACGGCATATGGACAGCTTTCGTTGCCGTGCCTTACCTTGCCTTCGCACCAATGTACTTCCCACGGGTCGCCCATATACTAATCATGGTGGCTGTCGAAGCAGTCACCATGATCTTCTGGTTCGCAGGGTTCATCGCCTTGGGGGTCTACCTACCACCATCAGAATTCTGTCACTGGAGTAGATGTCGGGCACTGCAGGCTGCAACCGTGTTTGGGGCATTTGATTGGTAGGTGGACACCCTTCTCGACGACTGCAATAACACCGACAAGGTCGGAGACGTAATTGATGAAACCTGCTCACAATCGCTTTGTAGGGCACTCTTCGTCGCCACCACTGTCGTAGCTACGCTCGAGGCGATGCGATCAAGATCCAACAGTGCGAGTACGAAGCCCGGCCTGTATGCTTCTGGCCATGTCAATGTGTAAACAACGGAAGTGGGCATCGATCAATTCACATCTTAGCGAGGGCCTCATTTGCAGCCGCCAAGACTATTGATGCCACCCAAAGCCTTTGGACGGGACGATTGACGACGATATGAAATTATACCGCTCATAGCTGAGAAGTGGAAGGAATAATGAGTCAAGGGCGGCTACGCGGCGTTCATATGCTGGGATTTGTACATCAGACTATATAGCAAGGGATACCCATGTCTTAAAATTAACCGAAGCCTTATAATTTCAGCCTTGACTCATGTTCTAGAATCATGGTTGGGGCAAATCCCACAAGCTTGTTCTCAATGACATCAATTGATCAATGAACATAACTTATAAGTTAGTTACACATACTTAGTTTGGTCATAGCCTGGACACCTATTTGAGCTTCGCCGTATCAATCGCTCTCGTAGCAAAGGTAAACTTAGGGTTCTTTATCCGCTAGCCTAGTCTTATGTACGTTTAACGACATTACAGTGTGTGATCAACTTAAGCTTGATGTTGACCCACTGAGGGGGAAAGTTTAAGACTGCCTCTATCATCTACATGCACTACTGTGTATGTAGTTGATGCATGTCAGATATGGGAACCTCTTTCGGAAGTGACAGTTTGATCATACCCTCCAACTACAAGGGCGAAACGTGAGGGATAAATCTTCGAATTGGCATGCAAGCGTTGCGGATATCAAGAAGATGGAAAAGGAAGATAAACTGTCATACGAGGCACTTTTCCAGTGGCGTGAGTGTCTGGGAAGGTAAATGACTGCAGCAGAGAGCCCTACCCGCGCCTGAACCTACTCAGAGTAGTAGTGATTGACTATGAGTTACTGGTGTAAGTGGTGTAAGTATGAGTAACAAGATCACCTAGTCAGAGACTTAGTAAAGTACATATGTATGAGTATAACTCAGTACTATGTATTAGTAGTGTAGCTAGTGTTGCCTACCGTAGGTGGTAATCGGCAAGCCACTACTCATGCATGTCTACAGTACACCTTGTTTTGTGCTAAAGCAACCATTCTGTGAGATGGTTGCTGCGTACTACGTACTACATTGACTTATCACTTACCCCGAATTTGTTCCTTATCATGTTTTCATAAGTCACTTTACTAGGCAATCAAGTGAAAAACCTATAAAATTTCCCCATAGGGCTGGCTGGACCTCGCATAGGTCCGTTCTCGGCGATAGTATGGTACTCAGTACGTATGAGTGAGACTAAGTGAGTATGCAAGGCGGCAAGAGCCAGAGGGCCTCCGTCATTTTTCCGTTCTCCGTTCTCCGTTCTCCGTCCTTTCCGTTCGCGAGTACTTAATACATCATGCAACAGCTGCGTCTCTTGACTTCGTCTGTTTTTAATCGATTGCGACCAGATGGAGATTACACCTTCTGATACGCCCCCTGAAGCAAGCATTCTTAGGTCGACCTCCAAAGCGGTCGGACATTTAACTATGTATTATACTGTACGAGTAATACTATTGGCATCCCTTTCTGGCAGCCCTCTTCTCACCTGTCCCGCCCGCTCCCCTCGGGCCGATGACGGGAAAAGCCAGTGGCAACGCTGCAACAGCCGGTAAGCTTTACGAGAGAAAAAGAAAAAAACTCTGTCTCCAGCTGGCGATTATCTTTTCCAGGGCCCACAAAGTGGAGCGTACAGTTGCCGAGATAGGGTTTCCATTCGTTGCTTGGGCACAACCAGCGGTGCTCTATAGGACTATCAACCATGGATGGGAGAGCCGGAGGATGCTTTAGTGCGGTAAAGTGGCACCTCTTTTCCACGCTTGCGCCTCTTTCGCTCGTGCCTCTTCCAGCCCCAATCGACTACTCCTGCGTTCTGCGCCCAAGTTCTAGACAGACGCAAAAAGCTTCCCCGGGTGCTGGTGGTGGCCAAGGACTGTCCAAGACCTCCAAGATGGATTTTCTCGGGGTAAGCCCAGGTCGAATGGTCGACGCAACGAATTGAGTACACACCTGTTGTCGTTTCCATTAGTGATACGTGCCTGTCATTGCCTCCTCTCATTGTGAAGAGTGCAGGTGGTGGATAGAGGCGGGAGACTCACCTCTTTTGCCCCCGGGGTTGCATCCGCTGCTGGACGACCCCAACCTATTCCTTTTACATAACATCTTCTGGTTCCGCGAAACACAATTCGATTATGTTCGCTATCTCGGCCAAAGTCGTCAATACGTACCTGGTCTTTGGCCGATTGGGGCCCTGAGGGGTTGTTTTGATTTCATCTTAGCGTCTGTGGATTTTCTTCGGTGTGGACCGTCAACTGAGGAGCCCACCGTTAAAACTGCTGGATCGACCCAGCCTTGAAGTGACTCAATCAAATCAAACCTGCCTTCCCCCTGGTGGAGTAGTCTGTCCAGGTGGCCGCCAGTTCATTTTTCTCTTCTTCCCCTGCCAACTCCGAACCTAGTCTCAATTTTGCCTTTCGCGTGGTCTGCTCTACTCATCTGACCGACTGACAACCTCGCCGGCTGCCCACTATCAAGCAAGGCACGAGCAAACTTTCACTTACCCGGACCGTCGAGGGGTCGAACATGGCCTTCGGGAACGAGGTCGACATCACGTCCAAGTCCGCCGAAGGGGGAAAGGGAAAAATGATGCCTGGCGGGGAAACGGTCCAAGTTCACACAACGAACCCTTCGCCGGATCTAAATGACTTCGATTGCGAGAAGCATGGCGCCAACAGCGAGTCCAACCCTTTGCCCCAGCTCAAGCGGAAGCTGAGAAGTCGGCATTTGCAGATGATCGCTATCGGTTAGTGAACTTTGTTGGTTCCTTCCCCGAACCTCTGAATCATCTTGCCTCTTTCCTCCCTGCGCAGCAAAGGTGCCGCTCACAAGCATAGACTGACACCAGCTCTAGGAGGCACCATCGGCACAGGTCTCTTCATCGGTAGTGGTACTGCTGTTGCCAATGGCGGACCCGTGGGCGCCCTCATCGCTTATGCCTTCGTCGGAACAATCGTCTATTCGGTCATGACGTCCCTGGGAGAAATCGCAACCTACATTCCGATTCCGGGCGCTTTCACAGCCTATGCTGCTCGCTTGGTTGACCCCAGTCTCGGCTTCGCTATGGGTTGGATCTATTGGTTTTCGTGGGCCTCGACATACGCGCTTGAGCTCACAGCCACAGGGCTTATAATCCAATTTTGGGATGATAGCATCAATATCGCTGTCTTCATCGCCATATTCTGGGTCGTCATCACGCTTCTTAACTGTCTGCCTGTCAGCTTCTATGGCGAATTGGAATTCTGGCTTTCGAGTGTCAAAATCATCACAGTCATTGGCTTCATGATCTTTGCGATCTGCATTGATGCTGGCGCTGGAAAGGAGGGCTATCTAGGCTTCCATTACTGGGTGCATCCCGGGCCGTTTTCTCCCTATAGTGGTGTTTCACCCGATTCAACCGCTAAGTTTGTTGGCTTTTGGTCCGTACTCATTCAGGCTGGGTTTGCCTATCAGGGAACGGAATTAGTAGGTATTGCGGCCGCGGAAACTGAAAATCCCCGCGTAACAGTCCCCGCAGCCATTCGCAAAACCTTTTATCGGATCCTATTCTTCTTCGTTCTCACTATCTTTTTCATTGGCCTTCTCGTGCCATACACGAACGACGATCTTCTCACAGATGGGAATGACGCCAACTCTTCGCCATTCGTTATCGCCGCCAAGCTTGCGGGTGTTCGTGTGCTGCCACATATCATCAACGCAGTCTTGCTGACCGTGGTTCTTTCGGCTGCCAATTCGAATGTTTATAGTGGCAGCCGTATACTGATCGGCCTGGCGCAAGAAGGATTTGCTCCTCGTTGGTTCAAGAAGACCTCAAAGAAAGGTGTACCTTTTTTCAGCGTGGCGTTCACCTCTGCTTTCGGTCTGCTTGGATTCATGAACGTTTCCAATTCTGGCAGTACTGTCTTCAATTGGTTGGTCAACATTGCTGGTGTGGCCGGCTTCATTACCTGGGCCTCGCTCAACGGCTGTCATCTGGCTTTTATGCGTGCCCTGAAGGCTCGTAACATCTCTCGCGATTGTCTTCCGTATAAGGCCTTGTGGCAGCCGTACTATTCTTGGTATGGTCTGTTCTTCAATGTTCTTATTATCATCACTCAGGGCTTTACCGCGTGGATTCCCTCCTTCGATGTCACGAGCTTCTTCACCGCCTATATCAGTTTGATTCTTTTCGCGGTGCTTTACGTCGGCCATAAAATTGTTTACCGGACGTCTTTCGTCCACCCGCTCGAGGCTGATATTGACACGGGCCGGTTGGAATTGGAGAATGAGACGTGGGAGACATCTGTACCGACATCCAGCAAATGGTACAAGAAGGCTTTCCATGCGGTCCTTGGATAATTTCGGGGCCGGACTAGCTCATTGACTAGGAGTTTTTGTTTGGCACAGGCGCCCTCTTGAATGCGTTCTCGTCGGTCGTGGAATTCTTGGACTGATATCTTTTCTTCTTTGCCTATTAATTAAGCCCGGCGCATACATACTGCAAAGTTCATGCACATATAAAATTATCTGGAGTTCTGATTGCATTGGGGTGAAAGGCGGGTTTCTTCGCTTATGACGGACGATGGTTGAGAAAGCCATTGAAGAGCCTCAAGTGCTTGCCCTCGGGGCATGCTACAAAGCCTTATTTGTGTACAACATTCATATTCTGTTTGGAGGGGATGTCAGCATTGGCATGGCGTTCGGTGCGAGACTTTGCTCTTTGATCTATTACTTTCATAATGTATCATATATATGACTTCCGCCTACGCTGCGTTATTTATCGGGTATGAATTGAAGCTCACTTAGGAATTGTGTTCTGCTCCTGTGACTATCTTTGGATTGACTAACTGGGTAGTACTCGGTAAGTACAAAAAGTCTGCATATGTGCGTGCATTTGAATTTCCCCGCGGTTGGCTAAGATTTGCGCCTGTGATGCATATACACCATCGATCTTCGTTGATTCACATGAAGGCCCACGTGCTCGAAAACGGGCAGAAGAGCAGGCTTCGTACCCGGGGTGAAGTTCCACCTGACATCTACTCTTGGCCTATTGGGCGGTGTGGTGGGCATTGACCAGAAAGCATGTGAGACACTCCACCATCTCATCGGACAGCGACTTGCACAACATACTCGTTGACGGAGTCCGGAGTATTCTATACCTAGTTCTATGAGAAGTGGAACATACTGTACGTGTATGTAGCAGCAGTCAAACAACCAGTTTGTTTCTCCTCCGCTTTCTTTATCTCTTTTCCTATGAATTGTGAGCATGCGCAATGGCAGACATCAGCGGAGTAATATCAAGGAACTCATGCAGCAGAAACCCGAGGTAGTCACCTGGAGTACGAGTACGAGTATGAGTATCATGAGTTTAATTATGAACCAGTTCACCGTCGACGGATGCAAAAGCAAGTCGAAATGGAAATGGACCCGGCCGGCGCAATGGATGGCCGAAAATAGTAAGTGCCGAGGCTCCCAGTACCTGCTCTGCCAACTTGACGTCGCGTGGGCGAAGAAGCCGGGCCGGCCAGTAAGAACTCGTGCTTTCGGTCTGAATTCCGGAGAAACCGCCAAAGGGGGGGGGGAACCTCCAACTGGAAGACCTAACCCTCCAGGCTCCTCCCCCCCTCGAACCCTCCTCTTCTGGGGCAAATGAAATGAATGAGGGAGGCATTCCTTCAATCCCTCTTGCTCCTCCATCTCTCTTGTTTTCTCTCCGGTTTTTCTTCTCCCACCCCTCCCACGTTGTCTAGCCACTTGTTTCTCAGCCTCTCAACCACTTCCATTCCCCCGCTTCGTTCTGACATCCACTTCCTTGACGAGCACTCTCCCTACCCTGAATCACCTTGACACACAACGTCGGGTTCTTGTTCAAGCAAAGTACCCGGCTTCCTTACTGTTAGGTTGAGGGACTTCTGAGCTTGAGGTATCTTTCTCTGAGTCATAGGAGACCATCCGTGAGCCTTTTCAGGTTTGCCAGCCCGTTGAGCTGTTTACTAACTCGGTCGCAATCGAGTAGTCACGCTCCTCGTCGCGATGTTCTTCTCCCAGCTACCGACTCATCTCCAGCGCGCTACCGAGCTACAGCAGGAGCCCCCTAAAGGCAAACCTTACGGCGTTGCCCTACCGGGCACCGAAAAACCAGGGCGCTCTCCCGTCTACCGGACCTGGAACTCAGCAAAAGAGCTAGTAAAAACACTAGACCCTGACGTATGCTCGTTCGCGGACCCCATTGAGATGAGAACCACATTGGGATTGTTATTGACTGGCTTCGATTTTCCCAGGTGGCTACTGCGCATGACATATTTGAGTCGACCGCCAGTAGAGTGCCCAAGAGCGACTGCTTGGGATGGCGCCCATATGATCCGATAGTCAAGGCCTACGGTCCATACCAGTGGATGGATTATGAGACGGTTCAGAAGCGACGTACTGCTTTTGGTGCTGGTCTGGTCGAATTACATCAGAAACATGGCTGCCATCGCCCTGGCCAATATGGAATTGGTTTATGGTCCCAGAACCGCCCGGAGTGGCAACTGACTGGTATGGGGCACCTGGCAAATATGGCAGAGGAAACTTGCTAATTCCCGTGTCTATAGACCTTGCCTGCATGTCTCAAAGTCTGTACTCGGTCTCCATCTACGACGTTCTCGCGGCAGACGCTACGGAGTACATCATCAACCACGCCGAATTGCACTGTGTCGTGACTTCTTTGCCCCATATTCCCACTCTGCTGAAATTAAAGCCATTGCTGCCGGGTCTGAAAATCATCGTCAGCATGGATCCTCTGGAGGCTGGGGAACCCGCCAGCCTTTCTAAGCGCGCGCTCCTCGAATCGGTTGCGGCTGGGCTGGAGATATCTATCTACACCATCGAGGAGGTGGAAGAGCTTGGGGCGTCGTCAAAACGTACCTGCAATCCCCCATCCCCATCTGACATAGTTACCATAAATTATACGTCCGGCACTACAGGGAATCCCAAAGGGGTGGTCTTGACCCATGAGAATACTGTCGCGGCAACTTCAAGCGGCCTCGTAGTAACTACGCAGGCACCTGGTGATACTCTGGCATCATATCTTCCACTAGCACATATTTACGCGCGGCTGTCGGAACATGCAGCATTCTGGGCGGGGGCTCGAATTGGCTACTTCCATGGGAATATGCTGGAACTCGTCGATGACCTGAAAGTCCTCAAGCCTACTGGATTCATGTCAGTTCCAAGGCTGTTCAGTCGCTTCGGAAATGTCATTCGCTCGGCTACCGTGGACCAGCCCGGTTTCAAGGGAGCTTTGTCGAGACATGTTGTTGCGGCGAAGACAGCAAACCTGGAGAATCCCGACGCTAGCAAAGCTACAATAAAGCATGCGGTGTATGATCGCATCTGGTCGAAAAAGGTTTCCGCGGCGCTTGGCCTGGAGCGCACTAGAGTGATGGTCTCTGGTTCTGCGCCTCTGGACCCGACCCTCCACCAGTTTTTGAGAGTGGCTACTGGTACCGATATCATCCAAGGTTACGGGTTGACCGAAACATACGCAATTGCATGCGCTCAATCCCCGCGAGATTTGACTGCCGGGAATTGTGGGCGACTTGCTCCATGCAACGAGGCCTGTTTGGTCTCTCTTCCGGATATGGACTACTCAGTCGATGATAAGCCCTTCCCACGGGGTGAACTGCTCTTACGTGGAGGGAACATCTTCCGTGAGTATTATAAAAATCCAGAAGAAACGGCCAATGCGATGACTGAGGACGGATGGTTCCGGACCGGTGACGTTTGCACCATTGATGATATGGGCCGAATCATCATCATTGATCGTCGCAAGAATGTCTTGAAGCTGGCGCAGGGAGAATACATCTCCCCTGAGCGTCTAGAGGGCGTTTACCTGTCTGAGCTAGGCTACTTGGCGCAGGGCTACGTCCATGGTGATAGTGTACAGACTTTCTTGGTGGGTATCTTTGGTGTGCAGCCCGAATCATATGCTCCGTGGGCCAGCAAAGTGCTCCGTCGAAACATTGAGGTCACGGACATTGACGGCATCAAATCGACATTGGATGAACCTCAGATACGTCGCGCGGTGTTGCGGGATCTCGACCGCGTCGCAAAGAAACATAAACTTGCAGGCTACGAAAAAATAAAGAACTGCGCGCTGATGCTGGACCCTTTTACAGTTGAGAACAATCTGTTGACGCCGACGTGAGTGGAATTACCTTTTCTTTACATGCTGCGCAAGTCTGACTAGATATTCAAACTCTTTAGTTTGAAGCTGAAACGTCCTCCGGCTGTGAAGAAGTATCGCCATCTTCTGGATGACTTATATACGACGGCGTTGGCTGAGGAAGCCGCTCCGAAGGCCAAGCTCTAGGAGATATTGACGTCGATAATATGTTTATGTGCTAAAACACATGCTAGCCAGTTAGACTGCTGGAGCTGCCTTGTACATATTTTTTCTGTGATTATTCAATTATCCATGTAGTTTATTTAGCACTTCAATGATCTTGGAATCCAAGGCTGAGCCTTTGAGCATGGTAAAAGGTTATTTCACCCGTTCACCCGGGTGATGGGGAGTTGGGGGTTGTGGGGTTTCTGTGTGTGCTGGGGAGGGGACAATAAGGTATTGTACGGCAGTTACTGCATACATAGAAACGGGAGTCACTATCCTTACCACCAGAGATTCTAAGACTAGTATAGTGAAGTTAGCCTCAAGATGAGTAAGGTATCTAATCACAGCACATTTATAAGAGCCCTTCGGTGGTTGGCCCGAATGATTGCTTGGCGCTAGAGCTTCTCGATACGACATCATCTGCAACTCCCTACCTAGTTCGACCCCAACTCTTTCTTTAGTCAATCTAACCGGTCAGTCCCTCGGAACCCTCAACCAGCGACTGCTGCCTACCATGCGTTCAGCCAGCAACTCCCTTGTGGGACTCGTTCTTGTCCTGCTGTCTGCACCAATGCTGGTGTATTCAGCCCTCACGATCACCATTCCCTCATCCAGTCTGCTCCCCAATCCCCACGCTCTCCCCGCTGGAACTCATGCGACGTTGTCCACGCTTCCCTCCTCGCCCTCCTCGCCCTCGCAGTTGACTGCATCCCTCACTCGCTCCGCGACATTCGTCTTCGCCAACATCCCTGCCCAATCGAAGCCCCAATCCTACCTTCTCGACATCCGCTCTCCGGATTTCATTTTCGCCCCGTACCGCGTGGACATTGCCGCTGATGGAACCGTTCTCGGGATCTGGGAGACATTCCGCGCGAACCCTTGGGACAACCGAGGCTCGGAGAAGTACATCCTAGATGCCACTACTGCTGTTGGGCAAGATGGAGCTGTCTCTGCCGCAACCACGCCCGAGGTGACTGTCGAGGCCCGAGTCCTTGCCCGGAGAAATTTCTACGAGGAACGCCCCCGGTGTAGGTTCTCTCTGAATCGCGACACATTGGCATGGACCATAACAAATGGCTGATCGTTCGTCCTATCCTAATCAATTAGTCTCGCCCTTGGCGCTGTTCAAGAATCCCATGATCCTACTAGCTTTGGTCGCTCTGGGCTTTACATTCGGCATGCCGAAGTTGATGGAAAACAGTGAGTTGCCTCTCTCTTCACCCGAAGCATTTTCTTTTCTTTAGAACATATTTAGTTTTTGTTGTTCCATTCTGCCCTTATTAATGCTTCCGTGTACTCTTGTGCTCTAGTGGACCCCGAGATGCGTGCCGAATTCGAGAAACAATCTCGCTCCTCGCCGATTACGGGCGCCACACGCAGCGCCATGGCCGGCGGCGGAGCGCCCGGCAATTTCGACTTGGCGGGATGGATGGCTGGAGCCACTCCCAGGCCCGCGCCTGGTGCTGACGGAGTTGCTGCGTCGGGCAGAGATAGTGGGAGTGCTTCTCGGAGAAAAGCATAGATATGCAGGCCCTGCGGCATCAGAATGACGACGCAGCGCGGGAGATTGGATGCTGACCGAACTTCATTCTTCTGCTCGTACAGGAGGTAGAAAGCGTATAATATTAGTGAGCTTACTCAAATGAAACTTGTCTGTTTACAGATCCCCGCTCACCTCGCTTTACCTTGACCCAACGATGGCATACGCCAGCCACGCTTCACGAACCATTTTTCCTTGCGCCCGGGAAAGAAGCTCATATAGATGAGGATTCAGTTATAGCGTTTGAATTTGATCCAAAATAAGAACATGAATCAAGTCCGGCTATATTGTTATTGAGGAAAATCTCCCCGTCAGGAAGATATTGATATAGCTTAAAAAAAATCACGGAACTCGCCTAGGCGAGCAGACATTTTGGGTTACTCCTCATTTAGGCTAGGAATGTGGATCGGAAACGTTGATTGCCCACATGGCACATCGAACTTATTGTAGGTTCTGGTCTGAAGTACAAGAGATTTCTACCCAAAGTATCCGCGAGGTGAAGTTGTAGGCGAGCTGTGGATAATACATCGTACGTGGGGGCCAATGACGGGAAGAGCGGCTGTCGCGCTGGACCACACAATTCTAAGATGCACGAGCGACAAACTGTATACATCATCATAACACATAAGCTATTCATAAGGGCATCTCGCGCAGCCAGGGAATAGTTCTAAACCTGTTCGCACATAAAACATCAAAACTGAGATGGGCTGAACATAAGAGGGGCGCATTAGAAATCACCAAAGTCATCACCACCGCCAAAGTCACCCCCATAATCATCCCCATAATCACCTGGGGGAGGACCGTAATCGTGCGACATGTCTTCCACAGCATCAGCGAGCAGCATGCCACCTAGAAGTCCACCTCCAACACCTAAAGCTGCAGCCCCCGCGGTGCCCATCCCATGCCGTCGCTGTTGCGGCTGTTGTTGGGTTGGGTAAAAGCTACCCTGTGGTGGATATGATGGATAACCATACCCTGCCTGTTGCGGGGCATAACCGGCGCCAACACCGCCTCCTCCGTAGTAGTACCCGCCTTGAGGGTAGCCATAAGACTGTTGCGGTACGGGTCGCTGCGGCCGAGGGAATGACGCGCCGCTATCACCTGCGACTTTTCCTTTTAACTTGCTGAAGAACCCTTTGCTGCGCTGCTGAGCCGGTCCAGGAGAAGAGTTCTGCGACTGGGGTTCCGATGACTGATATCCGGCAGTTCGTCTCCGAGAACCATCGGTGTAGTAGTCAGACGCAGCACCGCCGGAGCTCGCCGGGCTCCTGCGACGAGCTCGGGCATTCTCCTCTGCCTGTAGCTGAGCAGCAAGGCGAGCATCATCATCTAGGTTATGGTGCCCAGATTCTGGTGGATTGTATGGGTTCCTCGAATCAACAGGTTTCTTGTCACCTGCAGCAGCCAGTGAAGAGGGTTCAGCAGGACCCGACGCATCGTAAGACGGTGGCGGCTCGCTCGGTGGTCCATGTATTTCTGGTTCTGTTCGATTCGGTCCTTCGGGGCGTTCCCATTGTGATCGACCAGTTTGTAGGTTTACGAAGAACCTGAGGTCGCAGTCAGTCTTGCTCGAACCATTTTGCATTCGATGACTGGGTGATATGCATACCACTGATTATAGCGGTCATCAAACTGAGCCTTCCATCCTTCAGGGACGGAAGGAGTCGGAGGGCCGGGCGGCGGGGCAAACGACATGAATGATATAGATGGTATAACTAGTAGGCTTCGCACTTATTTATGGTCTAAACAAGACAGTTTTGAGTTATCAAAGAAATTCTCATCTGAAATCATACCAGACGGGCAGGATGAACAGAGGACATAGGTGTCGTAGATGCAGAGGAGGGGGTATTATATACAGCGAGCAGTATTTCCGATGGGCATCGCCCCGTGGCGCTGCTCAGCCACGTGATGTCATTGTGGGGAGATGGAGATTGGTATCACATGCGGAGAAAAGTGTCCAGTAGTTGCTAATCATGCTGTTGACTGTGTACATCTGTATTGATATACTACTACTCATCTGTGAACAAGCAAGTTCAACTAGACTATTAACTGACTAGTTAAATCAGTCAGGTTAAGATCTACTCATGAATAAGAGCTCAGGCCCCTCTACTGTCTGATGCATCATTAGAATCTATTCATCCAAGACAATGTCCATATCTAGATCATGATTCCTTGCTGCATAGTAAGACAGGATTGCAAGAAAATATCTATGGAGAAAATGTTTCCCTGAGTCCGCTGTAGGCTGTCATAATTGTCAGAACCCCTCCTACCCTTCCCAAAAACAATACTGCTCGTAGTGATACAGCCAGCCTCTACTTCGAAATTCCACGATTCCTCTTCCGAATGGAAACCATAGCCTCGTACAAAACATCCTTAAAACCAAACAAGAATGCCGCAGTAATTGCACTCTGCGTCACTTTTGGCCCAATTCCTGTTTAGAATAATGTAAGCTGGCTTTCAACAAGCACTTCGTCAATTGGGGTTCACTTGCCTTTGTATAGGCCAGCATAACCTTCTTCCTGAATTATTTTCTTCAAACTCCCATTCAAACTCTCCTGGGGCCCCTCTTTACTTGCAACATGCATGCGGCTCTTGACTGTGATGTAAGGATATGTGATCGAAGTAGCGAGTATCTTACCAAGGGCACCCAAATAGAACGCATCCTTGGGTGTCATCCGTCTACGACGCTCGACGATGATTTTCAATTGCTCAAAGATTGTATACTGCAAGATAGGGTTGACCACCAATACGAGAGCTGGCAGGACGCCAGCGAAGAGGGCCTTTGGGCCCTCTCGGCGCAGCAAGTCCATCAGTGTAGCGATTGTCGATGCTCGCTCCTTTCCAGGATAAGCACCGGGCGATGACTTGTGATCCGAATCAGACTTGCGGGCTGTCATTCTGGTGTTCACCACCCAAATCGGATTGGTGATCATGACTGTGGCAATCCCTGCAATAGCCCCGGCAACCATCGACTCAACGGTTGTGAGCTTTCTAGATGCCCTTCCTGCTTTCGTAGCTGCCTTTTCGAAGGCGGAGCGTGTCCATTCATACCAATAGTAGTAAACGAAATTGGTAACACTGATACCCAGAAGTGCCGACTCAAGTCCCGAGTATAGTCCGGCAAGCCCCTCTCTCCGGACAATGCGACGAACCGCGTCATAGATTGTCGAATGGGCCCGCTTGGATTCAACCTGGGCCCTTGTTGAGAGAGTGATGAGCGGGTAACTTTTTAAGGTTAAACAAAGCGTTAATAAAGACCCAGTCGAGCAGGGAGCGTTACTCACGTCAACGCCATCGAGAGAATGCCGCCTCCCGCACCGGCCAAGGCATGCGCTATATTATCGCTCTGTTGCATGGCAGCAGATACTGCCAGCCCCTTCTTCTCATCATGGATGCTTGCTTGAGACATCGGTCACGGACTCTTCACGCTGCATCCAAACACGATGCAAGATTAATATGATAAAAAAAAACTTGCCTGTAGTGAAAGTAGCCAACGCGTTGCAATACTCACAGATATGACTGGGCGAGTTTGGAGGAGGGGCTTTCTATTGTTTCAACTAAGAGCATCAGGTAAAGGAAGGGCGAGCGTTGCAGGAAGGAACGAAAAATAAAATCGAGACACCACCAACAGAAAGCTGCAGGTAGTCGGTTGTTAGATACCTTATCAACAGAAAGGTGAAAGGGGGGGCAGATGAAAGGGTCGAGTTTTAAGACAACGAGATATGTAGAGGGCGCGAGAATGACTCGGCTCAGGAGGTAAAAGCAACGACGCTCATGACGTTTACCGAAATTTGGGCCTCGGCTGATGCCCCTCGCGCAAAATTCGGGTTTCAGTCGCGTGTTTACCAAAGGTACAGACAGTGCCCAGCAGGATGTTGACCAGATTCCAGCGGTAAACGCCGACATGTACAGGACTAGGGCTGATGCGATGAAAGCGTAAGCAGCTCACATCGGCACCCTTACCCAAGATGTATGCACTGTATACCGCATAGTAGTCAGATAGAATGACATATCGGAGTCACGCTACGTTGTTATCGTTATCGTAGATGAGGTCCGTCACGCACCTGGAGCGTACTGTACTGTACATACATCGCAGGATTCACTCTAAGCCACCCCCCCAAAAAAGGTTGTTCCACCTAAGTACTCATGAACTCACTTACATCCGGCGGTAGGTAATTTAAACAGAAGCTGATGTAGCTAACCAGTCAGATGCAAAGAGGCGACTAGGTAGTAGGAAAAATGCTTAGCAATTCAATGCGGAAAAGCAATTTCGCATGTGACATTTCCTTCTTGCGGTAACCAACCAATCACTTAATGGGCTGCCGACCCCTGGGCCACCCCACCCCCCTTCTTTGCACTGCAGAGGTGGGTAAGTACTGTAAATGTCACGGTACCTGTACTCAACTGTACATTCGTTGTTACCCTTGAAACCCATCTGTCGACCTGGGATGGTATTTGGCCACTCATTAATCTATTAGTTGAGTAGAAAAGTCTACACGGAAGGCAAATAGTAGAGAAGGGATCAGGAGGAAGGATGGGACCCGCGGTAATAAGAGGCCACTGGTTCGACGCTTTTAATTAAAGATTCATTGTTCTCTGAATTAACTAAATAATCGACCCCGAGCGAGTAAACAAGGCAAACAATCCAACTTACTAGAAGAAAGATCAATCGAATGGAGACTTGTGGGAGAGACACTAGTAAGGAAGAGATAGAAACTTGAGAAGATTATGGGTGGAAATCAGCGTGATGGAAGCAAGAAACAATGAAAGGAAGCGGACTGGGGGCTGGGCAGGGAAGACTGAAGAAAAGTCAGCAAAAAGCAGGCGGGGATGGGAGTAGGTGCATCTGTGGTGTGACAGTGTATAAAGACGAAATGCAAGCCCTCTAAAGCATGAAAAATGAAACTATTCCTATGGCCATTCCCAACATGAAGGGTCTGCATCCACCCCAGCATTAAGAAGACAGTGATAGGGCGCAGCCGGTACATCTTCCCTCTAGCTCGTCTTCTTGGATCCCATAATTCCCCTTCTGCCGTTACATGTTGGAAGGACAGCACCTGGAATCACAAGCACAGACGCCTAACAGCAGCCGCCGGAAGAGCCAGACTGAACTCCCTGGCCCTGACCAACTTGCACAGTAGGCTTGTTGTTGACGGTGGCAGTTCCCATACGTTCCTTAATCTGTCTAGCCATTGTCAAGAAAGCTTGCTCGACATTCGAGGCATTCTTGGCCGAAGTCTCCAGAAACGGTATTCCGAGGCTGTCCGCAAATTCCTGTAGCATTTACATATTCCGTTAGTTGCCGACCGGAAAACTTCAGCGGCGACTGTAGCGACGTACCTTGGCCACTGTGTACTCCACTACCTTCTTGTCTTCCATATCGCTCTTGTTGCCCACAAGCAACTTATTGACACCCTCGGTGGCATAACGGTCGATTTCTTGGAGCCACTGCTTAACGTTGTTGAATGAGTCCATATCAGTGACGTCGTAGACAACGCAGATACCATGAGCACCACGGTAATAAGACGACGTGATAGTCCTGAATCGCTCCTGGCCCGCAGTATCCCACTGAAATGCATTAGTGATCCATGGTCATCATCTCGCAATACCGGCTTCCTTACAATCTGGAGTTTCACCGTCTTTCCGTCGAGTTCAATAGTGCGAATTTTCTAAGGCATACTATCAGCAGGCCGGTACACGGGGAAGGCGGAGCCAGAGTTGGAAAAGACACCTACAAAATCGACACCGATGGTGGAGATGTAGCTTTCCGTGTAGGTATCATCGGCAAATCGAAGAAGTAAGCAGGATTTTCCAACACCAGAATCTCCAATGAGGAGAAGCTTGAAAAGGTAGTCGTATCTGCTCAAAGCGTCAGCCTAGCTATTAAGGAGACGCTGGGCCGCCCATCTTCTTTCTCGCCATTGGGAAGGGAGTATGGAGGCGGGGAGAGATCGGGGCAACTCTAAGAGAACACACAAATTAGCAACATGCCGGCCGGTCAGTAGAGACAATCCAAGGAACTGCACGATAGATGGAAGGTGATGCAAGAGTTTGTGGTGATTAATACAACAGCACGCAACCCGATGAATCGCTCGGGGCCTAAGCGGATCGAGGCACTTACGACTCAGGGTTCATGGTGGAAACGGTGGAGGTTTGTGTCGAAATTTGCAGGTGCTTAGAACAAAAAAAGAGATTACCAAGGACTGGTTCGAGAGCTATCTGGATATGTTGGATGAAAAGGTGCAAGTAAGAGTGGCAGCGCTGTGATTGTAAATGATGCTCGGAGCGTCTGTCTATTAAGCTGAGGGTGACCAGGCGGTCTCTTGGAAATGGCGGTTGTTGCGTTGCTGACGACTGCAGGAGAGCAGGGGAGCCCAATGTGCAGGTTCCAGCCGCGGGCTGCTGGTGACCGTTTCACACTGACCCACCTACCTCAAAAGCCCATGGACCAATCTAGATTAGTGTCTTAGTACAGGAAGTCTTACTAAGTCCAACACTTGGACACTAACTAACTCACTGTTAGTAGTTAAATATAAGTAAGCGTGGTCGCGGTAGAAATAGGCATATTGTTCATTGGCATGTTCCAGTAATATTCTCTGCAGAATGTCACGGGTACAACCACTCTCCATCAGAAACCACCACAATGTAAACCCTGAGATCTGATCATCATTCGTAGTACCGCACAAATGACCATCTCATTCTGACACCATTAATACTACTCTACCTCTACAGACATCCAACCAATGAACAAGGTGAGAAGGCACATCTGCGCATTGCTTCATTCAATCTCGGCTGTTTCGCCTGCTATTGCTCAGGTGATCCTCCCAGCCACAAAGGGGCTGGCTCTCACCGAACAACTATGTCATGCGAACCCACTTCCTCAAGAGAGCGGCAATCACTGTTTCTAACTAATCAAGCATATCCATGAACCTGAAGCCACTCCAACACTAGAGCCTCATCTCTGTCTTTGTAGTGCACATTTGTGCGGATGCTATCAGCAACGATGACCAGAGCACGGTCGTAAGCACTGGTATCCTTATCCTGAAAGAAGGCAGAAATGTCGGCTTCAATGGTGTAATCGGCGAATTTGGAAAGTCCCATCCGCACAAAGCGCTCGAAAACAACATTATTTGTTGATAATCGAGATTCAACCATGTCCCAATGCGCTTTCATGTACTCCCAAAGTAAATGGCGAGTGCTTGAATTCGAAGCAAGTGAAACTGCACCGTTGTGTATGTCCTGTATAGCAACCTTGTCTGAGAAGACAAAATCGAGGTAGTCCCTGACCAAATCGGAATTCTTCGTGCGTCCAAGAGCCCCTAGGCAGATCTCTTTTCCATCGACAGAATCGGTTCTCAAATATTCCTCCTTGACGGAAACATAATCTTGATTTCCACCCTCAGAAACTACAACACCAAAAATAACAGAGCGCAGGTTGGTATGCACAGCATTTTTGTCTTTAGCAGTGTTCCAGAGCTGGAAGCGTCGTGTTGCCTCGGAAATCATACTAACGCTCAATGTAAGTAAAGGTCTCAGTCAATCAGCCTCAGGATGTGAAGACACTTACTCTTTATGCCCAGCATGGCATGCCATTCCAATCAAAAGTTTCCGAAGCTGAACAGTAAGATAATCATCTTCGGGCTTAAACTCCCAGCCGATTTCTTCAGCGGCGAGTGAGACCAATTCCAGGGTGAATTTCTTCAGCCCTGACGAAACCGAGTTGTTTTGAGCAAACACCGAACGTAAGGTTCCGATGGAAGTTGAGATTTGAGACCAGATCCTAGAAGATACGCATCGTTAGAGACTGAGATCACAAAGAAGATGTACTAACGGTGTTCAAGTGATACTGACAGGTAGTTCTTTTCTTCCTTAAAACCACTCAATAAAGATAACAAGGCAGCCGTTGTGCCATTACCAGAAACGGCAAGAGCAGCAGCATCGCCGATCAGGCCGATCTTATCCTCAGTACTTAGTAGGTCCAAAGACTGTCCGAGTTTAGCCAAACGATCAGCAGGATAACTGGTACGGTAGAAACCAGAAAGGTTCTTGTTTATCTTGTAGAAGGATTCCTGCCCCACACCGGGGACTGAATCTGATTTAGATACCAGAGCACCCTTATTTGTGTCAGACACCTCATGAGCCGACTGGATACCTAGCGGAATCCACCATGTTGTTTCGTCCTCATCTGGTTTGGCATCACCTGTCGAGAGAAAGCGGTTTTGTCGGATGTTGATTTGACCCGGCTCCTCGGTGATAGTGATAACAGGGAATCCGATTTTGCGAATCCAAGGGTCCTTCGCCACCCTATTAGTTCAGGGGAACTCAAATGGACTGAAGAACATTACCATGAAGCTAGTTACATCCTGGTTGGATGCCTCGCTTAGAGCCGACCAAAGATCATTTGTGGTA